CCTTCCAATAACACACATACATATGCTCTGGAGTTTCGTCATCCCCTCCATGTCCTCCTATGTCTTAACGGGCGAAGAACGGTATGAAATAAACTGTTTCGCTGTCGGGGGCGCCTGTCCCTGCGCGGCTGGAAAGTTTATACCCTTACGGTGGCACCGTAGGGGTATAAACTTGCCAGCCGCCCAGGGACAGGCGCCCCCGACAGCGAAAAAGTTTATGTTATACCGTGCCTCGCCCGTTAAATGTCTTACATGCTCCCATAGTTTCCTGGAATCGACGCTTGTGTGTGTGCGCCTGTGTCTACATCGTTTCCCTTCCCGCGGCCTGTGCTCCCACAGCGGCGCGAGGTGCTGCGGGTCCCGCGGGTGCTCCCACAGCGCGGCCAGGAGCTCGGGGCTCAGCACCCCGCGCTCCTAGGCATCGTTTCGCCGATCCCTAGGCCCCACTGGCGTGACCTGGGCCCCACTTGCGAGGCCGACGTGGCATCACAGCAGCAATTCGGCCCCGGACTGTCGTCCTGGGCTCGGTTTAGTGAAGTGATGAATTTCGGGGTCCTTACGTGGGACAAAACATCACTTCACTAATCTGGGGCCCCTGGGGCCTCAGTGGGCCCTGGGGCGCAAAATTAGTGAAGTGATGGTTTTCGGGCCTCGGACCACTGGCCAATCTACCCCCATCAATGGAGGTACAGGCTTATGTTGCTCCCATCGTACTTACGGGCCACATCCCAGGCACACTCTCGAGCACCTAGGCAGGCATCGAAACAGCGTCTGCCCGACACGCTAGCGAAGGGCCCGCCACGAGAAAACCATCCAGTTTTGGTACTTCCCTGGTGCTCGACATTCTTTCGTGGGATCAAGGCTAAAGCAGGCAAGAACATCATAAAGTGCATACGCTGTTCCCTTCGAATTTCAAAGGGCACATCCCTGACTGAGGTGGTGGGATGGTGGGGATCGGGATGGGGACGGGGGGAGGAGAAGGAGGAGGAGGAGGAGCAGAAGGAGGAGGAAGAGGAGGAGGAGGAGGAGCAGGAGGTGGAGAAGGGGGAGGAGGGGCAGGAGGGGACAGGGATCGGTTTAAAAGGACACCGAGGTCCAGGAGCGCCCTCGCGCGGGGGAGCACCCGCCTGCAGGCCACGACGTGGGCCATCGCGTCGAGGAGCCACTGGGGGCTCAGCACGACGGCGGGAGAGCCTGGGGGAAGGAGGAGGAGAAGGAGGAGAAGGAGGAGCAGGCAAAGGTGGAGGAGGAGGAGGAGGAGGAGGCGGAGGAGGAGGAGAGAGGAGAAGGAGGAGAAGGAGGAGGAGGAACGCACCACTGAAGGGAGTCCGAGTCACGAACACCCACAGGATCGAAAAGAAGGAAGCAAAGGAAAGCCTCGAAATGAGGGAGGGGCGCGAAGGGCGCGCCTGCCTCCTCGGCCGCGTCCGCGGCCTTGTCCACGCTCAGCAGATGGCGGGGCGGCGGGGGCGGCGGCGGGGGGGCAGACGACGACGACGCCGACGCCGAGGCCCCGTTGACCCAACCCAACTCCACCCCCATCGGCCACCCGAGACGAGATAGGGCTGCCTCCAGCAGCTCGAACTAGCCTGTTCACCTTGGCTTGGAAAGAGGGCACAGCCTCCACAGGAGAGGAAGAGGAACCAGGAAGAGGTGCTAAGACTGCACCGGTCCGAGGATTGAGCCCGCACAGAGCCCGAGAAATCTGGGCCTCCTCGTTGGCCCGTGTGGACGGCACACGAGATCTGCCAACGCAGGCCTTGGATAGCTTAGCATTGCGGCCCTGATCGGCTATGAAGGCACCGCACCCGAGGCATAGCCAATACACGCCCGTGCCTCTCGGCCTCGCGGCCGGGAGCTCGAAAGGCCTGGACCCCACGACCCGGCGCCCCCTCCCCGTCACCCACCGAGGGAAGAAGAGGGGAAGGATCGAGGCCCTCGCTCAGCAGGGCATCGTCGAGGCCAGGTGCGGCTCGGAGCGGCTCGAAGACTTCAAGAGACAAACTGAAATAACGAGCAGCCGCTCCCTGCTTCACGTCAGAAGGGGCGCACTCCTTAGGCATCAGAGACTTCAACAAAAAACTCGGCGCGCGCGTAGTGATTGCACTTCGCGCACCTGTGCTCACCCGTGCGCTTACAGACCCAGAATTCATGAGCCGTGATCGCCAGCTCTTTAGCCGCACGCCTAACCACAGGGGCACTCAGAGGCTCCGAGGAAGGAGGGCAGAGCTGGGCCGACTTCTGGGCCACCGCCTGGACCATCCAGGCGAACACCTTGGCGAAGGCTTTGGCTTCCTGCAGCTTACTCTTGTGGAAGTTCACAAGAACCTCTCCGACTTCATGGTGACGCGCGCCCCACTTCGCAAAAAGATCGGCCCAACTGTTGCCGACAAAATGCATGAAGTTCGCCGAAGGGTCATTCAGCATCTCTTCGGCAGACCTGCGGGGCGGAGCCCATTCGAAGGTGGGCGGGCGCTCGCACTCGGCGACATCGTATGACACGTGAGCTCGCCTCCTCCTCCTCCTCATCATCCCTCCTCCCTCCTCCTCCTCCTCCTCCTCCTCCTCCTCCTCCTCCTCCTCCTCCTCCTCCTCCTCCTCCTCCTCCTCCTCCTCCTTCGACATCGTGTAACACGTGAGCTCGCCTCCAAATATTGGCATGCGTCGAGGCCGGCCTTTCCTTATGGGCACCCCAACTGCTGCCGGCCTTGACCAGGGACAGATGATCGCTGACCACACGCGCTGGCTCCCTAGCAATCTCCAGACCCTTAAGCATAGCATAATACTCAGCACGCGGGACAGTCTGGACTCGGCCCGGAAGAGGCCCGTAGATTGCTCGAAGGATGCTACCTTCATCTGAGAGCTCAACCACAGCCCAACCGCATCGGGTCAGGCCGCGGACCCCCGACGCCAAGCCAGATCCATCAGTGAAGATCCGCCGACCCCACACTCACCGCCAGTCACCCCATCCGAACATTTCCAAGATCGGCTCGACGTCGGGGGGGGAAAGCCGGCAGGGGCGGCAACCCGTACGAGAGGGAGAAACATTCGACCCCTTGGGCTCCATTAGCATTGGCATAACGATCTCGAAGCTCCGCCCGTTACAACAAAACATCATCCGGCACAAGGCCTACCTCCTGGTCGGTGCTGTCCTGTAGCATCCCAGGACAACCAAACCACTCATGCGCATACGTCGTGCCGTCTTGCAAGCGAAACATTTGTCCGACTCGCGCTTTTGACTCGAGTGCAGCTGCTGCGGAGGCCAACAAGCAGCCGCCCAAAGCGCTCTAAGAGCGCCTTATCGAGCAGAATTGCTAATAGCCAAAACAGAAGTACGCATGGCCTCGAGCCAACAAGTTTCGCCCGCACTATCGGCGAAATATGCTAAAATCCGCTGAGCCTGCCACCGCTGCAGCCCCTCTTCGAGGAAGCGCTTGACGCCCGCAGGGCAGGTGCGGACAAGATCTACCTGCCTGCCGACGTTATCCACGAGAACACTAGGCGATAGCATCGACCAGCCAATCCTGAGCAGAGTAAGGAAGGTCGACGAGATGGGGCCACGAGCTCCCGTCCACGTCACCCGACTCGAAAACCTCGCGCGGACTTGCCCCCAGGCTCGGCGCAGCCGGCTCGGGCTGATTCGCTGATCCCAGATCCACGCGGCGCATCTGCACACCAACGGGATCGTGGCATCAAAAATAGCATCGAATTTAAAACTTCGCCGGGTAGCGAGGTATAACGTAAGACAACACTTTGACTTCGCCCCAACCGGCCCCCCGCCAGAGTGCGAAGGGGGCGGAGCGCGGTGTCGGAAAGTCCTGAAAACCCAGCCCCGTGCCCAGCAGAGGGCATTAGCCCAGTGCGCCAGAGCCCCGCTACTCGACATCCCACTGCGCGGCGGAGAATCCTGAGCTTGGCCTCGCGCTTACAAACTTTGCAGACCCGGGCTTTCTCCTGGACCCGCTGAACCCGAGGACCGTGCATGTCGTGCCCCAGGTTCCGCATAGCCTTCTTGGTGGCCAGCTTCAAAAAACTAGCAAAACGAGCAAAACGTTTCCTAGCGCGAATCGTGTTGGCCACGAATCCGCTCTTGGGAAATTGCACCAGCAGCCCCAAGGGCTTGACAGCTGCGACAAAGGCCCGCAGCGCTGCAAACAGCTCGAAAACCGCATCCCCCCCTCCCGACCGACGAGCCATGGCCCGCTCCCCCACCCACTGAAAACTGACATCGTCGATCAACGCCCTGGGGCGAACGTTCGGGAAGGCAGCCACGGTTCGCGTCAGGCTACAATGCAGGAGGACCATGAGCATCGTCGTGGCCATCGGACAGCCTGCCAAAATCCCCTGCAGCGATACCACCGCGTAGCTGAACCCGCCGTAGGATTTGATCGCACGAGGCTGAACGTAGGTCTGCATCGCCATCCAGCACAGCCGCAGAGGGAAACGAACCACTCGCGCTTCTTTTAACAACATGCTGAGCTTGACCGTCTCGTAGCACTTCATCATGTCGAGAAAAGCGCTCAGCGCGTCCTCATTAAGCTCATGGCCGATCTCCGCCTCCATGTTAAGGCTGAAGGCACAGTCGCTCGAGGACCTCCCCGCACCGGTGCCCCGAAAGGCCTCCGACCGATTGGCATCCTGCCACGAAGCCGCTAACGGCCTGCGGATACGGCCCCACACACGCAGCAGTGTGTGAATCAAAGCGATCAGCCTACTTCCGCCTGAATATTTAGGGATACGAACCAGCTGCGTGATGATCCGCTCCTGCGGCCACTGGAGGAGCTGATCGCATTTTGAGAAAAGCAGTCCAAGCACAAAAAGACCAAGATCGCTGGCGTACCAAAGGCTGCGCGGCGAGAACTGGAACTGTCCCACTCCTGCCTTCCAAGAAAATGATAGACCAGCCAGCCTGTCGGGAGCGGCCAAGAGGGGGGTGTCCAGGAGGGGGGGGTGCAAATCATGGCCGGCGGCATGTGCGCGGCCCAGCGGGGGAGCCTGGG